CCTGGGGCCAGCCCTGCCTGCCAGGGGAGAGCGCCCCCTGCTGCCCCTACCCCGTCCCTGCAGCACTCCCAGCCCAGTACGGCCCACAGGAGATGAGCCCCACCCCAAGCGAATTCCGGTTGGCCTCTGCCCTGACCCCCTGGGCTGCCCCCCATCCGCATCCGGTCCCCAGCCCGTGGCTCTGAGAGGTCTCTGCCCCCCAGGCCGGTCCCAGCCTGGCCTGCATGGCACGGCCGACAGGAGCTTTGCAGGCCCCAGAGCGGGACCCCGTGGGTCCCCCCGCCGTGCCCGCACCGCTGCTGCACCCCGACGCCCGGGCACGCTCGTCACACCAGCCTAGCCAATCGCAGGCGAGCGGCAGGTTTAGCAAAGCTCTGATTGGCTGGGCTTGCCATGATGCCATGTCTCCCCAGCCAATCGGGCAGCGCAGGGCCGGGCACGGCCGTGCGAGAGCAAAGGCAGAACCACTCACCAACCGCAAGCTCCTGATCACGTCGCGCTCCCTCGGCTAGCCAGCAAGAGCAGTGCAAAGAAAGGAGGCAAAGGCCAGAGGGCAGAGGTCAGGGGTCAGAGGTCAGCAGACAGGTACAAAGAAGCAGAAAGTTGAGTGTAGCAAAGTAACGTGAATGTGTTAAAAGCCCACGATGCACCGGGGGGACCGAGTCTCGGGCGCGGGGTGGGGTGAGGCCAGGGCCTGAGCCGGGGGGGCCCTGGGGGCAAGGGGGGGCCTAGGAACCAGACTGATTTCCCTAGTAGGTACAGCAAGCAAGAGGTCAGGGGTCACAGGGCATGCGGGGTCAGCAGGTAGGTGTGCTGGGGAAGCAAGGGGCCCGACCTTCCTTCAAGGGGCCCGGGGGTCTGGGGGAGGTGGTGCTGGGCCGGGCCAGGGGCCCAGCCTATGGGTCAGCGGGCGAGGACGTGCCCGGGCGGGGGGTGACGCGGGGGGGGGAAAGAGGAGGGTGTGGCATGGGGGGGTAGCAGCGCAGAGCAGACACTCGCCCTGAGAACCTCTCCCCTGTGCCCCGCCCCGGCCAGGACAGGGCTCCCTGCGCTGGGCACCGGACGGTGGAGGAGGGAGCCAGCAGAGAGGCGGCTGTGCGGAAGCGGCAGTCCGGAAGCCAGCGGCGCCACCTACCAGCGTGTCCCCCGAGAGCACCTCCAGCAGCGAGATGAGGTTGTGGCCATCCCGCAGGTCCTCGTACAGGTCGCTGACATGGTGCTGAGCCTGCGGAGACGGAAAGGAACCGTTACCGGGGGCAAAGCTAACACCAGCCATGGAGCCGCCGGCCAGCCCTCGGCCCAGCCCCGAGCCAGGCAGGCTGCCCTGACCCAGCTGACAAGGGGGGCAGGAATCTGACTCGTTCCCCAAAGAACAGCACGGAAGGGCTCACATGAAAGCCATGGTCACACTGGTCATCACGGTCACTGCAAAATGCACGTGTGTGCCATGCAAGGCGGCGTGGCTCCGAACCAGAACACCGTGTTCCCAAAGGCGACATGCCTGAACCCGCGTCCTCCACACAGGAGACAAGGGAGTGCTGTACATCAGAGCCGCAAGCTAGACACCGGACGCCCATTTACACACAAAGGCAAACGTGAGCCAAGAGCGGTGACGTCACCAGGAACGGAGCACACAGGGACAAACAAGCCTCAGGGGTTGTCCTGTCTAGGCGTAAAACCGATGAACTCTGGGGGTGTTTCCAGAAAGCAGAGGACACCCCCCGCCCCCCACCCGGTGCCCTGGGGACAGCGCGTCGGTAGTCAGGAAAGCGGGGGCTCAGCCAGCCTGGGCTGGAAACACTGGAGAGAACGTGGGGCGAGAACGCTCTTGAGCCAGGAGGGGAACCGGGTAGCAGAGCGCAGGCTCCAGAGAGCGGGCGACCATTTGGTTTCAGTATCCTTCTCCCTGTCACCTGGACGGCTGCTCTTTCTCCCTGTGCCGGGTCCCCAGCCAGGCGCTGGCCCTGGGCTGCGTCTCACGGCGGGCCTGGGCATTCTGCGGGGCTTGGCATGTGCCTATCGCTAACCTGTGTGGGGCTAGCGGGGTCTGTGGGGCCTGGCAGGCAGCGTTTGCACTGCCCGAGGCTGGTGGTTTCAGGGCCTGACCCACCCTGGGGACTGGGCTGGCCGCCTTCCCCGCTGCACTGATGCTGGCAGGGCCAGGCTGGGGCCAGAGCGCCTGGCTCCGGGTGCTGTAGTGCGCTGCCCCTGAGCCCTGCCAGCCCATGGCCTCCGCCCCCCACAGCCCCGAGCCCATGGCCCCGCCTGGGGAGCAGCGAGGGAGACAGGAGCCATGCGCGATGCCGTGGGTCACGCCGTGCACAGGACCGGATGCCACCTACCTCTGCTCGCCAGTGCTGCCGCAGGAGGGGAGGGCAGGGAGAGAGAGAGAGGGGGGTTAGGAGCAGAGAGGTGGCGCAGACCCGGCGTTCAGCTCCCCAGGCACAGCGTGGGGACGCCCGGCCTGCTGCCAGTGCTCCCGCCAGCTGCCCCCGCCCTGGGGCCATGAGCACAGCAGGGATCCTGGGCCCCCCACACTGGACGCTCCACTCTGGGCGGTGGCCCTGGAGCCCCTCGGCTTGGCCAGGTGCAGCCCACAGGGAGAGCCCGGCCCAGCAGGCCTCTGGGAGCGAGGGGGAGTCCAGCCAAAGCAGAGAGACCCCCTCCCCCCACGGCGGAACTGCGGAGCTGGACAGAGCAGGGGCTCCTTGTGCCAGCCTCACATGGGTCAGGCCAGCGAGCTCCCATCCACCCAGCCCCACAGCCTGCAGTGCAGCCAGCCCGGCCATCGCCCGCCTGGCCCCATGTGCAGCCCCCCATGGGCCGCCCTGCGCTCTGCCT